AATTTGTTTTCTCTTTGCGTTGGGGAACAAAACCGGGCCCTGAGTCACGAAAATGCCCCTACCAAGGAAAAGGTTGAGGATTTGTCAGGGTTTTTTCACTTTTTTATCGAAACCGGTCCTTTTCCTTTTGGCCCTAAAAATGATCAAAGCCCTAAAAATTCCCTTTTTCCCTTTCCACTTCCTCAGTGCCAGAACTATCAAAATTGGAAGGGGAGAGTCCCAGTTTTTTCCCTGAAGTGAGAGCTTTACTTGCGATGAGGATGGTGAACAAAGGAACGAGCCCCGGGATTCCCACAAAAGGGTATGCGGGCACCTGATTTTTTTGTTTTTTGGTGCACACCCCCCCAAGAAACCCTTCCCCTCACATGTAGGCCTATTTGTGCTTTTGCTCTAAATTTGACGGCACTAGAATTTTGGCATAGATCTACGGTTTGGACACTCAACGTGAAGCCGTAGATCTATAGGACGGACCCTGAAAGGGTTAAAAGAAAGGTCCGCTGACATAACCTAACCACTAGTTTGGCAGGAGGCCGCCACACCTTCCTTGGATCAAACGTAATTACCTGCTGTGTACCAGTTGCTGTATGTTCTCCCATGTACTAGTAACTGTATGTCCTCCCATGTACCAGTCACTGTATGTCCTCCCATGTACCAGTCACTTGTATGTCCTCCCTGTACCAGTCAACTGTATGTCCTCCCATGTACCAGTCACTGTATGTCCTCCCATGTATCAGTCACTGTATGTCCTCCCATGTACCAGTCACTGTATGTCCTCACATATACCAGTCACTGTACATCCTCATGTCTACCAGTCACTGTACATCCTCCCATGTACCAGTCACTTTATTCTCAATCCTGGCCCATGGCTGGTCTCCAAGTGCAGTAAGACTCTCAAAACTCATCAAAGGTATTTTTTTTATTAACACACCAGCTGTTTCCCACCAAGGTAGGGTGACCCAAAAAAGAAAAACTTTCACCATCATTCACTCCATCACTGTCTTGCCAGAGGCATGCTGACACTACAGTTATACAACTGCAACATTAACACCCTCCTTCAGAGTGCAGGCACTGTACTTCCCGTCTCCAGGACTCAAGTCCAGCCTGCTGGTTTCCCTGAATCCCTTCATTAATGTTATCTTGCTCACACTCCAACAGCATGTCAAGTCCTAAAGGTAAGTCAAGGTACAGTGGTACCTTGACTTACGAGCTTAATTCGTTCCGTGACCCAGCTTGTAACTTAATTTGCTCATATATCAAATCAGTTTTCTTTAGTGAAACTAACTGAAATGCCATTAATCCATTCCAGTGGAATTTCTGGCTGTAAGGAGGCAGGAGAAAATACTTCAATATAATGCTAATATCAACTTTATGGCTTATTTATCTATCACAATTGATCTAATATAACTTAATAAACAATGTAAATAACATAGAAACATGGTATATACTCTAGAATGAATAAAATACATGTATATGTATGTCATTATGTGACGAGTGGTGGCAACCACTCCTGAGGTAAAAATAATTATTGCTCTGACCCATGTCTTCCCATTCTTTCCCTTCTGAGGTCTTATTATCAGAGAAAATGGAGTGTTTGTGAGGCTGACTGCACTAGATCACTAGTTTCATAGGAAAAACACTGAAACAAAAGGAATTTTCTTGGAATTTTTTTTCCCGAGTCAGGAGAGCGGCCCACGTTTTGGGTGAATTTCTCAGAAGTAAATCAGCATAAATGCCTCACCTCGCTCGTGCTTTTCTATGATTTCATGCTTTAATTCAATGGACATCATCCTCTTCTTCTCAGCACTGTCCTTTGCACTTACTTTCTTAGGGCCCATGGTTTGAAAAAAAGAAATTTGGCAAAATAACTGCACAAAACGAAAGCACAACACAAGAGAGACGCTTCCATGGTGAGGTAACCATGTGCACTGTTGTGGCATTCACTGCGCCAACTAGTGGCGGCGTATCTGAAGCTCACTTGTAACTTGGATTTTGGCTCGCAATTCAAAGCAAAAAATCAACTGAGCGACGGCTCGTAACTTGAAGAACTCGTAAGTTGGGGCACTCATAAGTCAAGGTACCCCTGTATATCGAAGGTATAATGTGACATGCAACATCCAACTCACTCATAGGCATCTTTTCACTTCTGCTTAGTTCATAATATTAAATAGATTTGAATCTTAATGGGAAGGCCTCACAATATTAAATTGATTTTAATCTTAATGGGTTGTTGAATTGGTAAAGTGTGATTCCTTTTGCAGCCACTGGGAAATAGAGCTCAACACAGTGCTACCATTACTGTCGCCTACCACCATCAATTACCATTTTTAACCCTTTCAGGGTCCAAGGCCCAAATCTGGAGTCACGCACCAGTGTCCAAGAATTTTCAAAAAAAAAATTTGTTATTTTTTCTTATGAAATCGTAGAGAATCTTTTTGTGAAGGTAATAAAACAAAAAGTACGAAATTTGGTGGAAAATTGACGAAATTATGCTCTCGCGAATTTTGATGTGTCAGCGATATTTACGAATCGGCGATTTTGCGACTTTGACTCCCATTTTAGGCCAATTACATTATTCCAATCAACCAAATTCTTAGCTATTTCACTAGTATTACTTCTATTCTATCGATTGAGCACAAGAAAATCGCCAAGTCAACTGTTTCAACTACAAAATAAAGTGATCGGAAATTGTTAATTTGGCCAATTTAACACAAAGTTCAAAATATTCCAATTTCAAAATAGGTCCAGAATGAACAATGTAGGCATTCCTGGCACTAAACTAACATTTCCTCTGTTCATTAGTTATGTTTTGAGGCTTTACAAATAAATTCCATTTTGATTTTTTATTCACACCAAAAAATAGAAGATTTACTGTTATTCAATACTGTAATAATTGTATAAATATCATCACCATATTTGTGAATGTATATTAGACCCACCAGCTGACGTGTATTAGACGTGTGAGGTCGTTTGTTTACTCTTGTTCGGCAAAAATTTAACATTTCGCTTTTGGCTCAGTTTCAACCCATTTTTCCAATGCAAAAAACCAACAAAATCATTCTATTTCTTAAATGTCTTCTTTCTATCAAATGAGACCAGAAATCGCAAATAAACTATAAAAAACATACGAAAAACACTCCCAAAGTTGCTGTTTAATCGAAAAATCTGATTTCATTTTTTTTTTCATTATACACAGTGTGCTGCAGGATCTGTTTATGTGGTGCACACATACACATAGATGTATCTTCATATTAGGCCAATGTACACTCACGTTTATCAGAGTGAGCTGGCTCATTGGTGCTACGGTTGACCTGAAGTAAAGCCTTTAGATTACGGGACGGACTGAAAGGGTTAAGGCCTGGGGGGAAGTTGATTGTTGACTCAGTTTAGAATGTATTTCCTTCACAGAAACTGGGAAACATTGCTAAATTTACAGCATAGCTGTGGGGCCCCCTCAAACTCTCAGTGACTCACAGAGCTGCAGTCCAGATCATATCTTTGCTACACTGTTTTCTTGTTTAAAATAGGCTAAAAAATGACAGGAATGAATTTTATGTTCCCATGAAATGCAAATGGTTGTCATGGCATATTGGGTTGAGGTGGCGCTGGGGAGCTAACATTGTGGGTAATATCTATAAAAATAGCTTCTTCCACTAGGCTCATGCTAGCAGGGAGAAGAGAATTACTAACCCACGCTCACCATGGATTTCGCAAATTACACAGCGTGTGTTGGAGGAGTTTTCGGTGTTTTTCATGAATATATTGCTGACTTCGCATTTTTCAGGGTTATGTTAAGCAAGACTTTACTGTAGCTCTTATCTCTTTAAATTCAGTAGGAACCCGCATATACAGCACCTATTTTTGGTGTTCCACATATTTGTTGACTTTCAGTTGATCCATTGTTCCACCCACCAGTGACAATCGCCAGCAGGTGAAACATAATGAACAGTGGCTCAGTTTGAAACCAGCAGTAACATGGAACACTTAAAAAAAGAGTGCTGTATATACTGGGCCCTCCATTTTCCTTTCCAATTTATGAAATCAGATCTGAGCCCAAAAAAGGGGAAAACGAGTGATGATTGCTAAAATCATTTACAAATATTAACAGATATCAGTCATAAATTGACTCTGTTATAAAGAATACATTACATATAAAATATATACCTTATTTCAGCAGCTCGCCAATTTTGTATTAAGCATGCTGTTGGACCTATCTATACAACATTAGTATTTCAGAGTAAGGTATAGAAACATTACAAGTAATAAACATATATTGACAATGTGCCAGACAGGCTCAGAAAATTTATAACAGGAACATATTAAGATATACTTTTCATTAGATAAACAATATTTTTTTTTTATCAAACCGGCCGTATCCCACCGAGGCAGGGTGGCCCAAAAAGAAAAACAATAGTTTCTCATATTAAATTTAGTAATTTATACAGGAGAAGGGGTTACTAGCTCCATGCTCCCAGCATTTTAGTTTCCTCTTATAACACGCATGGCTTACGGAGGAAGAATTCTGTTCCACTTCCCCATGGAGATAACAGGAAATAAACAAGAACAAGAACTAGGAAGAAAACCCAGAGGGGTGTGTATATATATGCTTGTACATGTATGTGTAGTGTGACCTAAGTATAAGTAGAAGTAGCAAGACGTACCTGAAATCTTGCATGTTTATGAGACAGAAAAAAAGGACACCAGCAATCCTACCATCATGTAAAACAATTACAGGCTTTCGTTTTACACTCACTTGGCAGGACGGTAGTACCTCCCTGGGTGGTTGCTGTCTACCAACCTACTACCTAGGATAAACAAATTGTGTACTTTTATTACTGAAAAAGGAATTAGTTAATTTCCTTGCTACACCTTGAACATTTATGTATCAACAACCATGACTTCATAAATACTAACTCTGGTGTACTCACTAGAAATATGTTCAGATTTAAGCATTAGAGCTTCAGTTGGCATGACATATTTTACACGTGCTGATTCACCTACAGCGACTGGTTGCTGACCCTGATGATGCTGTACCTGACCTGAGAAGAAGGGCACAAGAGACAAAACTGGAAAGGTGAGCGTTAGCACATACAAGCCTAAAGCCGGGTTAGATCTGCTCTGGCATGCAGAACAACAGTAATGAAGAAACGATGCCCAATAATTTGGCCATCGCATATTAACAGATTGGTTAGTCTCCCGGCCATCATCACACACTGTCTTCCTTGCCCTCCTGTGTCCTGGTACCATGACATCTGTACTCTAACTCAGACTCAAAAGACCCTCTTGGTATACTCATTAATTTGTGGTTGCAGGGGTTGAGTCTTGGCTCCTGTCAGGGCAAGGGAGAAGGGAGGACAATACTGGAGTATTCATATGGTAACCTACTTGAGTAATAACCCAGTAGGAGGGTCTCAGACGGTGACATTCCACCTGCTGTATAAAGAACAGCCTAATTTAGAGTGATATTTCACCCACTGGGTCAACTCATTTCTGGCAACCAACTTGGATGATACCACATACCTTACTGGGAATTCTCCTGCATCCTAAGTGTGCACATACTCACCCATGATAATAATACTATCACAACTAATATATGTTATGACATCCTTTCTCTAGTCTGGCTCCATCTCTCTTCTTGGACTGGTATATGAAACTTGGGTTGGGCAGCTGCAAGTTAATTGAAGGCATTTGGTGCAAAATAATTAGAGATTAGTGCAGTAGCAGCAATAAGTTTCAAGCAGACAACATACCAATACAAGCATGTTAAAATCACAATTCTGTAACAAACTGTAGTGAATTACCGAGTCTGTTGATGTGTATTCAACACTGCAAGATCTGTTGCTAATGCATGCATTGTAATAGCTACTACCTATCTATGAACATTACAATATCTATGAACATTGTAATAGCTACTACCTATCTATGAACATTACAAGCATTCTAGGTTAGCAACATTTGCACAGAGCTAATATTCTGCTCATCAAAATAATCCCTTTAACATCAATAATTTTTTTTACACATCAATTTTACAGGCCAAGTGTTGTTATCCTACCTCAATTCATATTGAAGCCCAGCCCTATCTGAGGTATACTACCACCCCTCAGGATGCCACCCACACCAGTTAACTAACACCCAAGTACCTACTTACTGCTATGTGAACAGGGACTCTTGTCCCTGTTCACCTAGCAGGTGTAAGGAAACATTCCCAAGGTTTCTATCCGGCCAGGAATCAAACCACAGCCACTCATTGTGTGAGCTGAGTGCGCTACCAACCAAGCCACAGGACATCCAGTTTGTTGCCACTTAAATAGTAACATTTAATTCTTTCTTCGTAATACCAACAGAAATGTCTTAATCCTGCTGAACTATTCCTTGAATGGAGTTGGAAACCTGTGATAATGGTTAAAAATATGAATTTATGCATAGCGCTGCACCAGCTGTTGAGGATGCAATTTTAACTACCTCACATCTCAAACTGGGAGAGAAAACAGCAATAAGGCTGCATCCCAACATCTATTGCCTTGCTTCATTGAACATTATTGCCTACTCATCCCTACAGACAACAGAGAAAAGGCCATCATTGTTCTGTTGCACTGAAAAGTCACATCAAAAACAGACAAGCATAAATGAAAATAAGACTTCATGACTTGATAAAGTTTTACCTTAAGTGAAATGATGTCCCAATGAAATATTGTTCTGCATATTGTATTTTTATGCCCATATTTGTTGGTATTTTGCTTGTATATGTAAACCATAGGAACCAGGTATATTACTCTGCTAAGTATCTTAAATTTTGGGGGGGAGGCTTGATAACATTCATCGTTAAGGACTGAGTTTTTTTTCATGGCTTTTCGGTCATCCTCAGGCAATAGTGTATCTATAGAGTGTAACATTCATTCATAGAAGAATTGCCATGATACACATTGTCTGTGTCATCTTTGCTTCCATTGGTCTTCGTTATCTATTAACCAATTGAATTATTACAGTGGAACCTCAAAATTCGAACGTATCACGTATCGAACGCTTCAAAAATAGAACCCTTTTTTCAAACAAACTTTGTCCCTATTATCGAACGCGCCCGTATTTTCGGACTGCCGGGTATGGGACCTGTCCCCCAGCCTGCTCTGTCCGCGTCCCCGCGCAGGTGCAGTGAGCCAGTCTAGCTTTGTTTATGCTTGAGTGAATGCTAACCTACACTCACATTCATCATTTTACAATTGTTTCATTGTGTTTAGTGCTTGTGGGACTGTGAAATAAGCTACCATGGGCCCAAAGAAACTTGCTAGTGGTACCCCTGTGGTAAAGAAAGTGAGAAACACCATAGATGTGAAGAAGGAAATAATACGGAAGTATGAGAGTGGTGTGAGACTTGTTGAGCTTTCCAGGATGTACAGAGGACTGTGGACAGTTATTTTGTGAGACAGAAACAGACGACTGTGGACAGTTATTTTGTGAGACAGAAACAGATGACTGTGGACAGTTATTTTGTGAGACAGAAACAGACAACTGTGGACAGTTATTTTGTGAGACAGAAACAGACGACTGTGGAGCTATTTTGTGAGACAGAAACAGACGACTGTGGAGCTATTTTGTGAGACAGAAACAGACGACTGTGGAGTTATTTTGTGAGACAGAAACAGACGACTGTGGAATTATTTTGTGAGACAGAAACAAACGACTGTGGAGTTTTGTGAGACAGAAACAGACGACTGTGGGGTTATTTTGTGAGACAGAAACCGACGACTGTAGACAGTTATTTTGTGAGACAGAAACAGATGACTGTGAACAGTTATTTTGTGAGACAGAAACAGAGGACTGTGGACAGTTATATTGTGAGAAACAGAGGACTGTAGACAGTTATCTTGTGAGACAGAAACAGATTACTGTAGACAGTTATTTTGTGAGTCAGAAACAGAGGACTGTGGAGTTATTTTGTGAGACAGAAACAGAGGACTGTAGACAGTTATTTTTTGAGACAAGGGTCCAGTGACTCTCAAGCTGGTCCTAGTGGCATTAAAATACAGAGAAGGGAAGTAACCCCAGAGAGGGCTTTAATACCAGAAGTTCTCATAGAGGGGGATTCTCCTTCCAAACACTAACACCAACTCCCTCTCTCCTCCTCCCTATCTTCCAGATGCCATCACCAATCTTCAATAAGGTAAGTAAAAATGTTATTTTATATTTATATACATAATTAAACACTATAGTATTTGTTGTGTGTGCATAAAACTGTAACTACAGTGGACCCTCGCCTAACGAATGCATCGCATAACGTTAAATCCGCCTAGCGATACATTTTAATGCAAAACTTTTGCCTCGGCTAGCACTAAAAAACTCACTCAACGCGATTCGTTCGAGACGCGTCCACGTGCGGCCTGAGCCCACCTCACTTGTTCCGTGGGTGCCAGTGTTTACAAGCCAGCCACTGCGGTCGCTTCCAAGCATACAATCGGAACATTTCATATTATCACAGCCTTTTTAGTGATTGCAACTGCAAAATAAGTCACCATGGGCTCCAAGAAAGCTTCTAGTGCCAACCCTACAGCAAAAAGGGTGAGAGTTACTATGGATATGAAGAAAGAGATCATTGCTAAGTATGAAAGTGGAGTGCGTGTCTCCGAGCTGGCCAGGTTGTACACAAAACCCCAACCAACCATCGCTACTATTGTGGCCAAGAAAACAGCAATCAAGGAAGCTGCTCTTGCCAAAGGTGCAACTTTGTTTTTGAAGCAGAGATCACAAGTGATAGAAGATGTTGAGAGTCTGTTATTGGTGTGGATAAACGAAAAACAGATAGCAGGAGATAGCATCTCTCAAGCGATCATATGTGAAAAGGCTAGGAAGTTGCATGACGATTTAATTAGAAAAAAGCCTGCAACTAGTTGTGATGTGAGTGAATTTAAGGCCAGCAAAGGTTGGTTTGAGAGATTTAAGAAACATAGTGGCATACATAGGGTGATAAGGCATGGTGAGGCTGCCAGTTTGGACCACAAAGCAGCTGAAAAATATGTGCAGGAATTCAAGGAGTACATAGACAGTGAAGGACTGAAACCTGAACAAGTGTTTAATTGTGACGAAACAGGCCCGTTTTGGAAGAAAATGCCAAGCAGGACCTACATTATTCAGGAGGAAAAGGCACTCCCAAGACATAAGCCAATAAAAGACAGGCTTACTCTGTTGATGTGTGCCAATGCTAGTGGTGATTGCAAAGTGAAGCTTTTATTGGTGTATCACTCTGAAACTCCCAGAGTGTTCAGGAAAAACAATGTCCTCAAGGCTAATTTGTGTGTGCTGTGGAGGGCAAACAGTAAGGCATGGGTCACTAGGGACTTTTTCTATGACTGGTTACACCATGCATTTGCCCCCACTGTGAAAAATTACCTAATTGAAAAGAAATTAGACCTTAAGTGCCTCCTGGTATTAGACAATGCACCTGGTCATCCTTCAGACGTGGCAGAGCGACTTTCTGCGGAAATGAGCTTCATTAAGGTCAAGTTTTTGCCTCCTAATAACACTCCTCTCCTGCAGCCCATGGACCAGCAGGTCATTTCCAACTTCAAGAAACTGTACACAAAAGCTATGTTTGAAAGGTGCTTTGTAGTGACCTCAGAAACTCAATTGACTCTAAGAGAGTTTTGGAGAGATCACTTTAGCATCCTCAATTGTGTAAACATTATAGGTAAGGCTTGGGAGGAAGTGACTAAGAGGGCCTTGAACTCTGCTTGGAAGAAACTGTGGCCAGAATGCGAAGACAAAAGGGATTTTGAAGGGTTTGAGGCTAACCCTGGGAATCCTATGCAATTTGAGGAATCCATTGTGGCATTGGGGAAGTCCTTGGGGTTGGAGGTTAGTGGGGAGGATGTGGAAGAGTTGGTGGAGGAGGACAATGAAGAACTAACCACTGATGAGCTGCTAGATCATCTTCAACAGCAAGAGGCCAGACCTGAGGAAACTGCTTCAGAGGAGGGGATAGAGAAATTGAGGAAGTTGCCTACTTCGAAGATTAAGGAAATGTGTGTGCAATGTGGCTTAAAGTGCAAACCTTTTTTGATGAAAATTACCCTCGCACAGCTA